ACAGGTCCTGCTCCCCACACGATCAGGTCTATGACTTTGCAGTTCTCTGAGCCTGTCTGCCACATGTCAGGCAGGGGGGGAAGAGTGGGCATTCGTTCAGACGAAGAGAGGATGTCTTGATGAGGCCTGAGAGGAATGAGCAGAAGACCGAGTAGGAGATTTCTGCCTCTTGACAATTCCGGACAAGGTGGGGATAATCTTTGAGATAAAGGCTTTTTGATGGTACATTTTCATAGTTGTTAGAGTAGGGTGGACTTTTCGCCAAGTCGTTGCCGGCATAATTCACACATTTTTGCAGGTGGACGCATCGCAGCATAACCTGCCCTGAAGCGAAAGATTGAGCATCCGATGCATCCACTTCAGAGAGTCATCGGACGCAGGTCTCGATTACGGCCTCTTGTCGGCCAACCTCAGCTCTCCTACAATTGCCATGGCGATAGGAGGGGGGAAAAGGGTCATTGGATTAGGTTTGCGTTGTGAGGTAAAAAAAAGAGAAGAAAGATTTCATCAAATCGGCTCGTGTCCCTGATTCAATCAATCCTTTTTCCACCATTCAAGGTGGGGCAGGATGGCCAGAATGTGCATCTGAGTCGTATCAAGAGGTATTGGGTGTGATGAATAAGTTTGACTATGATTGCTCGAGCAAAATGGACCAAAATAACAGCAAACGTTTTGGGTTTACTGCGAATCTTTCGAACCTCAACGGCATGAGGCATGCGGTTTAGCAAACTAGATTAAATAGAACTCGAGTTTACCATCCAATGCAATTAGGAGAATAGAAGTACCAAAAATGATGGCAGCGCCATTTTGGGAAATATGTCCGGTTCAATTAAAGATGCCACATCTCTGCTCAGGGTTGAAAGTGTATGTCTCTGTTTGCAGAGGCCATTCTCGCATGCAACTGAGAAAGTTTAGGAAAAAAAAAGTCGGTTGCCCTTATTCCATTAAAAGAAAAGTGATGCTATGATTTTTATTTCGTATGAAAGTGCATGCTGAAAAGATTCATAGGGCGATCTCATCAGAAGACTGAAATTGACTATTTCGCTATTCTGCCGCCGTTTAGCTTTAATCCAGCGGAGACATCAGACACAGAAGTTCGTTGACTATGGTGCATCTACTGCCAATGTATTCACCCAATTTAGTTGAAGGTGATGAAGGACTGGTAGAAGAAGAATTTTCCCACAATGATGCGAGTAGAGCTGACGTTTCCAATCAAATTCACATTGCCTCATCCCGGCTTGAGTGGACTGAAACAAATCCTCTTTTTATGTAGTTATTCCTTTTTAATCTGTTCCTCTATCTAAAGCTTGTCCAACGCCACAACTAGTTCCGTCTCATTTTCATACGCTCGTTATTCCTATTAGGAATTTTGGATGTCTTCTTCATTTCTATGATCTCTCTAATCCTACGCGTTGGTGTGACGTTTCCGTAGCCTGCAAAGCTCCGTGTTTTGGTATTTATTTAGAGTTTCGAGACTAGCAGTATATCAGTAGTATGAGATGTATTCACCAAATTTTGTTGAAGGTGATAAAGGACTGGTAGAAGAAGAATTTTCCCACAATGATTCGAGTAGAGCTGACGTTTTAATTCTATTTCACATTGTTATCCTCCAGGCCCCAGTAGACTGCGGTCTCAACCTCGCATGAACTGGTCTTATCAGCACCCCCAGCGGGAGTCGAACTGTGACGGTGCAGAATAGGAGCTTGACTCGTCAACCTCTCGGCCACATTGCCACGAGTGTCCTTGTGTCAGAGGACAAGTGTGAATTTCAACGAAGGCCAGGCCTTTTGCCATATCACATTATTTGGTGAGATTGGTGATGAAGCAAACGTATGTTTTACTATAACAATCGAGTACGTTACTTTATTTTTCGCATTTAAATATTGTTTCGAGTAAATCTGTAATATGAGATGTATTACTCTTCTACCAGTCCTTCATCACCTTAACCAAAATTGTCTGACTACCTCTCATATTACTTATTTACTGATAGTCTCGAAACAATATTAAAATGCGAAAAATAAAGATAAAAGAAGCCATTTCAACTGCCAATTTAGATAATCGTGGTAGTAAGTTATGCA